AGTGCTGAATCACCCTGAGCAGATAAAATAGTTTGAGAGGAACAGGCTATTAATAGCTGTGTCCACCCACAGCAGCAGGAGAACTGCAGAGTCCCACCGATATCCATGGCAGTTGTGAGGGGGAGGTGATGCCAGCTTTGTGTTAGAGAATAGAGGCTGAAGCAGGCTGAGCTGCAGTGTGTGCCCTGCTGTTTGGGGACTACTGTGGGAGACAGATGTTGCAGGAGAGTTTATACAGCTCCAGGGGTGGCCATCTGTCCAGTTTTTAAGCTGATGTGCCCACCAGACTAGTGTGTGGGAGGTCAGGGAACGTGAGTGGGTGAGGGGGTCTGTTTAGCAATGGTCATACAGGAACTTTCTTTCCAATCCTCAAAATTCTAGATTGCAAACCACACAGGATACATCAAAGTGGACTGGAATCTGGTACAACGGGACATGAACAAAGCCAAGGAGCAGCTGAAATTTCACAGCAGTGGTAATAGAATGCCTCCAGAAGTGAAAAGCAGAGTGGATGAGGTGAGACAACTCTCCCAAGGCTTGTGCTGGAAAACAGGATTGACTCCTGAGCTGTTATGGATCTTTCATTATGCAAATACAAGGATGCTGCATGGCAGCAAAACTGGAGAGATGGCAAAGGCTGTGGGTGTTGTGTACCTAGACTTTAGTAAAGCCTTTGACACTGTGTCCCACAGGATTCTCCTGGAGAAACTGGCTGGATTGCCAGGGTGGTGGGGAATGGAGTTAAATCCTGGCTGAGGCCAGCTGGATGAGGTTCAGCCAGGCCAAGTGTCAGGTCCTGCCCTTGGGTCACAACAACCCCCTGCAGCTCCAGGCTGGGGCAGAGTGGCTGGAAAGTGCCCGTGGGGAAAGGAGCTGGGGGAGCTGGTGCACAGCACCTGAACATGAGCCAGTGTGTGCCCAGGGGGGCAAGGAGGCCAAGGGCACCTGGCCTGTGCCAGCAACAGTGTGGCAGCAGGACCAGGGCAGTGACTGTCCCCTGTGCTGGGCACTGGGGAGGCTGCTGGTGAGAGGGAAGGGGAGGTCATTAGGTTGGATACTTCCCCAAACCTGAGCAGTGGCATCTCTCTGAGCATCACTTGCCTTGAAGAACAGAAAGAGCCTGAGGGATTTCTTCTTATGGGGAGGGTAGGTGGGTGACCTGCTGTTGTTGAACACTGTTGCCTATTCTCTGCCCTGCTTAGGTGATCATATTTCTAAAGAAGAATGTTATCCTGACTGGAGGGTTTGCTGGAGGATTCTTGATCGGAATGGCATCCTAGAAGCTGCACTCGACTCTCCTTTCGTGCCCAACCTCCCCTCCCCTCCTGTACTACTGTTATCTCTCACTTAGAAGTCAAAGGATGTTGCCAACAGACGCAGTCCCTTCTGCTCACAGGTTCCAGCCCTTATTTCTTACAGCGCTGCTTCTGATTTCCACATTTTTCATCAGTCTGGGCTGTCAGTGTGCTGGGATCAGTCTGAAAGCTTATGACTCCCAGTGTATCATTATGATTCCTTTCCCCACCGAATATGCCCAGTCCCAAATTTTCTGATGAGTTGCAATCTCATAAACATGTAGTGGCAGAGAAATCTTTTAAATGTGCTTTCCACAGGCGCTCAGGACTCTTACATGCACACTTGTCTGCCAGTATATGTGCACAACAGCTGTCAGCTGTTCACCGTTTAGCTTTCAGTATTCCTGCCCTGGTACCTGGAAAACCTGTGCTTCCCTCTGCACACAGGTGGTCTGTGCAATCCAAAATGTGGTTGGCTGTCCTGGGGCGAATGCAGAAGTGTCAGGGCACAGCCTGAGCTGTGTCCAAGGCAGGTGAATAAGGATTCTCCTGCCCTCCCCCTGCCATTGCACTGCACAGATGGCTGTTCTGCTTCCTCTCTGCTGTTAAATTTCCCCATACTGGAATTGCAGCACTGCACTGCTGATGGAAACTGAGTCTCCAGGCCCTTTCCTCATCATGCATTCTGAAAGCCACCAAGCTCCCTGTGCTGTAGAGCACCTTCTCATTTGCCACCTGACTGCTCAGCCTTTGAGAGTCTCTCCTTCCAGCAGGCCCGACCTGTCTGGGCCTCTGACTGGTGTTTCTGTGTCTGCCATGACCTTCTCTGGTCACTTTGGCATTGAAGAGCAATGGTGTAACCATGTGAGGCAGGGTGGTAGACAGGAAATGCATCCCTGCTTGGGGTACGTTGTACTGGGCTAGGGTTGCCAGCTCTACTGGAACAGGGGGATGATGTGAAATCTGGAGCTGAGTCCTTTACCTGTCTCTGCAGAGCACACACTCCATCTCCCTGGCCTCTGCAAGCAACTGAAATGACAAAACTATTGGGAAAACCAGGTTTTAGTCTTGTGGGAGTGGCTCATTTGCATACTTTCTGCCTTGATTATGTTCCTTTCTTCTTTGTGTTTGCCATTTCCACAAGAAAGGCTGCTTGCTTAATTCCATCAGCTGCAGCCCTTCTCCTGCAGGTGATGGGGCAGCCAGGTGCAGAGCTCAGCTGTTTTTGGACAGCCTGGCCCAGTGCAGCTGTGTGCAGAGCAGAACTCTACTAGAATTTCCACAAGAGAAAATTACAAACAGAAATCCCTCCGAGGTATTCTGCAGGCATGGAGATTTGCAGGCCAGCACGGTGATGTCCTCCAGCAGGTATATGTGGGAGTTCTGGCCCAGAACGTGGGGTTTTATGGGAAAGTCAGCCCATCCTTCAATGGGAAACGCTGGGAACAGTGACACTCAGGGGTGATTGGTTTGCAGCACCTGGCTCAGCAGCTGCACCCCATTTCCAGTGCTGTGTGATGCATTTGTGATCTGCTGCTGGTGCCCTCAGTATGGCTGGAAATGGGATCTTCCCCTGAGAGCTGCTGGAAGAGCTGAAACAATGGGTTCTTCCACCAGAGGTTTTGGAATGAGCACTTGCAGTTGTTAATTTTGTTTCAGCTCTGTTGATTGAAGTGTCAGGGTAGCAACACAGTGATTAAACTGAGGTTTTCTCTCCTTCAGAATCTGAAAAGAGGCTGCAGATAACCAAGAGACACAGGTTGTGTCTTTGCTCCTGTCCTGCCACATGTGGCCAAGGAGAATGAGGGAGCATCTGGGCTCACATCCTTTTAACCATGGCCTTCCTAAAAGCCATCCAGGACTGCAGGGATGATGTGATGCAGCCAGTAGGTCTCCAGTAAATTGGTGTTTGGCAGTGGAGTGACAGATGGTGGTGGTGGTTTTGGGGGTTTGGTTTGTTTGTTTTTTTTTTTTCTGTAGTACCTGCGGGAATGGGTGTTCATGAATGGATACATTTGTCTTGCAGGGTATCCCTTGTTCCTGTAGGGAAACAGCATTGCTGCCCTTTAACTGGGTGGGCGGCATAGCACAGCTGCTTCTGAGATGCACTGATGTCCACAAAGCTCAAAGCAAATCACTAACAGACCTTAGGAATGTTTTCCAGGCTCAAATAAGTCACTATTTCTGCCCAGCCCTAGGGAAGGGTGTACTGGGTTCTGGAGTCCCAGTTTGCTGCTACGGAGAGAAATGGCCCAGAGGGGGAGCTAAAACGCCTCAATTGCTGCTGGAAGGAGAAACAAGTAGCAAGTTCTCGTTGAGTTTGCTGTGAATGTAGGCAGGGAGTGGACAAGGACATCGGGATGTGGCAAATCTTTCTGCTGTGCCAGTGTTGGGCTCGTGGCTGGCACTGTTTCATGCTGTGGGCTCACACTCAAAAGCTTTGATGCTGAATCAGCCTCTGTGGGGGTGCATTTTTGTTGTTGCAGGTGCCAAGATGAGGTGTCCCTCCCCTCCCCACTCCTGCTCCTTCTAGTCTTGTTTAAACAACTTCTGACATCTGTTACAGTGCGAGAAGATTTCAAACACATTAAGCTTTTAAAGTGGTTTTATATATTGTATGTAAATGCTTGTTGAAGTGATATTTTATTAAACAGTTTTGCTCTAATAGCTTCTGTGTGCGAGGTCTGTTGGATTATTGGGAGCCAGCATGTTTTTGTCTCACTCTGTGTGTTGTGCTTGACTCAGGGCAGCAGCTACAGCCAGTCCAGTAGCAGAAGTCTGGGATGTGCCCAGGTGGCCAAGATGGCCAACAGCGTCCTGGCTTGTGCCAGAACTATTGTGGCCACCGGAACCCCCTGACAGGATGCTGGAGCCAGGTGGGGGTCAGTCTCCCAGGTAACAAGTGACAGGACAAGAGGGAATGGGCTCAAGTTGTGCCAGGAGAGGTTTAGATTGGATGTCAGGGAAAATTTCTTCACTGGAAGGGTTGTCCAGCCCTGGCACAGGCTGCACAACAGAGCAGGGTGGAGTCACTATCTCTGGAGGGATTTAGGAGGTGTGCCCATGTGGTGCTCAGGGACAGGGTTTAGTGATGGGCTTGGCAGTGCTGGGGGAAGGGTTGGACTCGATCTTAAAGGTCTTTTCCAACATAAATGAGGCCGCCAGCCTTCCTTCTTCTATGTGGGTAACCATGGGCTGCCTTGATCATCCTGGCACCAATCACCTATATTCCCAAGAAGTGGGATGCTTCTAGGGCAGGAGGTGATTCTGTTGCCAGCCTGGGTTCAGAGCCTCTGCTGAGCAAGTTTATTCCACCCAACTAGAAATGGGCATGGAGGCAAGGCTTTTTCTTCTTCATGGGTGCAACGGAAGCCTAAATATATATTTCTATTAGTGACTTTCTTTTCACTGTTCCTGCTCGGGTAGGGCAAAATGAAAAAAATTAGCTACTTGTCAGCATTTGAGCTGCTTCACAACATTGTCATAATTTTCCCCTACTTTTCAAGGGTACTAAACCCCCCTGTTTGGTCTTAAGGGATTATTTTGGGGCGGGGAGGGCAGTGGGAAGGGAAGACTAACCCTAAATTATTCTGATCTTAAGCCCCAGTTATAAAAACATCACGCAGCTTCTATTTAAACATGATGATATCACATGTGGCTCTGGCAGCCACACTGCCCAACAAACCAACCAAGCCGAGACCACAATTTGTTCCAGTCGTTTATTTTGTATCATGGTATTTCAGAGTCAGTGAATACAGATGGTTTGCTCTTCTAGGCTTCAATACACACTATTGTGCCTAGACCTCAGTGGTCTGTTTATAGAAGCTGTATTTCATAAGTAAGTTGTACTTGCTCACAGCACAAAGTCCTTGACGGCTAGATCTAATGACAGAGTTAGGGCCTAGTGGGTGTGGAGCCTGATATTGAGGTGCCTGGACTCCTGCTACAGGGGACAGCGAGACAGCTCTGAAGGGCGGTGCAGGAACCTGTCTACTGAGCTCTTCCTACAGGTCACAGGAAATTCTGCTGCATGGGTGAGAGCTTCTGGAAAAGCCATCTCTCCTGGGGTCCAGACACAGCCGGATTGTGGGTGAGTCTGGAATGCTGTGTGGAAAACCAGTGCCTACAACTGCTTGTTCAGTAAGCAGCGCCTAAGTCAGTTCTTGGATCTAGCCCAGGGCTCTGTGACAGGCCTTTGGGTTTCAGCAGGTTGAACTAGACTGGGTTCATAACATATTGCTTAAAAGGTGTTCAATTAGACATAATTTATAAATTTTGTATCAACAGTCAGATCTTTCAAATGAATATTGCTTTTTTAAAAAAATATCCTATCCCTGTAGCAATCCCTGAAATAATGTTCCTGTAACATCTTTGTCATGCAAATAGCAGCGTGTAGGCAATTCAAATATAAAATAAACAGGTCTGCCCAGTGGCAAAGGGAGGCACTTAGGCAAAGTGACTTGTAGTCACTCATGATCTATGCAAGACTTAGGAACAATCATCAGACCTGATTCCCACTCTTGAGCTTAAACCACTGGACAGGCAAACGTTGTCTGGAACTACTGCATGATGGCAGCAATACCTTTGTTGTGTGAAGATGGGCTTGTTTCATGTGTCACATTTAAACTCACTCTTCTGAGCTCATTTCCTGTACCTCTCGCTCCAGGAGCCAGAATAACTTGGTTCCAATTCTCCATTTTAAGAGCAAGGATGGATCAGAGTAAGGTAAGCATTCTAAAAACACTGAGTTGACTTTTCACAGGTGTGATGCAGAGGCAACATAGATGATGTTTTCGTATAGAAGGTACAGTTTGTTAACCAGGCCATCTGTTGGTACTGTTATACTTTTTGGTGTGCCGAACGGTGTGTTCTAGGAGCAGTCTGGCTCTCCTGAAAGTCTAAAGAAGGCTTGAAAAAACACAGACGAGCTCTGCAGGTGAGTCCATGCTCCAGCACCCGCTGGAGCTGCATTGTGTTACTGAGGTGGTGGGGGAATTCCTTCTGAAGTCACCTTAAACTTCTGTCTCTCCCTTTCTTCTCTCTCAAACCCTGAACAACAGACGGATCTGCCCTGGCTGTACCGGGCGCAGCACTTCCGCATCTCCTGAAGCACAGTTTCACACTTGGACTCCAGGTAGTTGTTCGCTGGAAGAGATGAAGGAGACACTGAGTCTGCAGAGAGGAACAGGCTTTGTTCCCAGAGGGCACACACCCAGCCCAGCTCCTCAGCTGCTGGGCAGCAGGTTTCTCTGACAAGCAAGAGCTGCTTACAGGCATTTCATCGTTTTCTCTGCTCTACAAAAATCTCTCTTTAGGTTGAGCTCTCTAAAGCTCTGGCCAAAGGCTCTTGGAGAGAAGCCCTGCAGGGATGTGAGCAGGCTGAGTCTGGCTTGAGTTAATAACCACCTGCCTGTCTGCCTGGGAACACAGGGCGTGCAGAGCCACCCACGCTGCCCTGGATGAGCTCCACAACCACTACATAGCTGCCTCGCCCCCCACCCCCACCACTGACTTTTAAAAGACTAAAAGAAGCAACAGCAGCATAATGTGCTGAGAGCTCCACCAGGTGAGTTAGGAAGAACTCTTTCCCATATGGCTCAGCTGCCTTGGCACAGAGGAATGTTTTCTCTTATTCATTCTCTTATTCATTCCAAAAGGCAAACCCTTTTCCAAGAAGCAACCAACATTTTATGAAAATATTGTCCTCCGCAAGTAAAACCTGTTCTCCCCAACTCCAGGTCCCCAAACAGATCGTCACAGAACATCCCTCACCCCTGCAAACATTCAGCTAATAAAAAACAGCTGTTAAGGGTCTCCAGAGGGAGACCATCTCATCCCTTGAGGACAGATCACATACACTCAACCCATTCCTGACAGGTATCTGTCTGACCTGCTCTTAAAATGCCCCCTGGAGCAGCTCTGCAGTCTTCTCACACAATCCAACTGCTACCTCACTAACCACTCTTACAAGAGCTTTATTATAACTCCCCCTGCCCAGAGCTGAGTCCCAGGACTACACCTGGGATCTCACCACCAGCATGGAAAACACTCTGAGCACATTATTACTAACTATCTGTTTTGTACTAATTGGGTCTCATTAGTTACAATTAAGGCAATTCTGTTAAAATCAGACATTATAATTTTGTTTGCTTTGCAATCGGGTGATCCTAATGTGCTTCCTTCCTTCTCAGGGTGAAAGGACAACAAGGTTAAGTAAAAAGAATTAAGTTCCACCAAAAATCAGGACACCAAATATAAAAAGACACTTGGTACCTTGCAAGCATTTCTGTATTTCACAGGCTTGTTTCTGGCACGGATCCTTCTTGGACATGTTCAGAGAACTAAAATGATAGGAAAATGTTACTGTAGAAACAAGGTGCTTTTCAGGGGGTGGGGGGAAGACAGTGTCTTAAAGCCAAAGCTTTCAAGAGGTCCCAATTTCCCCCGCGGTCACCATTCAGAAAACATCTATTGCTGCTTGCAGATGACAGCCAACATACACAAGAACTCTTTGTGTCAGGCTAAAAGATGATAATGTGGACAATGAATATGGGAAGGTTTATGTTGCTACATTTAAAGGCCTTTTTCTTTTCTCTGGTCACAATGTGTCTTTTCCACTTGGATCACCAAGATTCCAGCAAAGATTCAAATTAACGTCTGACTGGTTTTTAACAGTTCTGTGTCTCTAGACCTTATACTAAACCACATATTTAAGGGAAGGCCTTCTCTGTGAGCTCTATACAACCATGGATTCAGTGTTAGTCATGGAACAACAGCTGGAGAAGGCATTTAAAAAAACAACCAACCAACAAAACTTAGATGTATATGCCCCATAAAGTCAACAAGGAGGGCTTTTTTTGGTTTGTTCCAGGAAATTCCCTCCTTCTGTCCAAAAAATCCCACCACCAGATTGGAGGGCAGCTCCACCTTGTTCAAATCCCTAGAAAGCAGGATTACACTCAATTTGACTTTCTGTAGCTGTGACACCTGTAACTGTGATCCTCTGACAAAGCCAAGCAAAAGCTGGTGGTACGAGCAGTTGAATGGGAGACCTCAACAGGAAAGCACCACTCTCATTGGAAGTGGTGGTGGGAGTTCAGCTCCCTCTGAGCCACAGTTCAGCCTCTGCTCAGAGCCAGGGAGCTGCTGCCTTTCCAATTTCTGACAGATCACCAGCCCACAGCACTTTTCAGTATCACTGGGGCATTATTTCCAGCATCCTGGCCAAACTCCACTTGGGGCAATTACATTCTGCCTACCTAGAACTCCCCCTGACGTTTCACTTGGTCACAATACTCCTCTTCACTGCCTGTCCTAAACTCTTGTGTGATGTTGCTGTGTGTTGTTTAACTGCTTCCACCTCAGAGGTGGCTGCATTTCAGTGGAGAGAGAATCTTTTATTGTACAAAACAGACAATGGCATCTTCCTAGAGCCACTGCTCCTGAAAGACAAAAATTCATATTAAAGAAAGACCGGGAGTAAACAGTGCACAGTACAAAGCAGGGGTAATGTCTGCACATACCAGATTAATCCCCAGGCACGAGTTTAAGCAGCAGTTCTTCAACACCACCAAGCTGTAAGTGACAAGGAAAAGTTCAATACGTCTACAGTAACTGTGCTTGAGCTAATGGACTTCAACAAAACAACAGTCCTTTGCCGTCCCTCAGGGATCTCAAACGACTTCACAAACAGGCATGACTATGGTCTATTGTTGCCACCATCCTTACCATGAGATGGTGCTCTATCTCCCAAACGCGAGAGTTACTATCCCTGTACTGCTCACCCTGGGACAGCTGCCACATGTGAGGCAGCCGGGATGGGGGGAGCTGGCTGGGTCGCAGCGCCTCACCCAGGGGAACCTGAACTCTTTGGATCCGAGCCCTCAGCATACCTTCCTCCTGGGGGAAAGCAACAAACAGAGCAACAATCAGTCACCGGCAGCGCAGCAGAGGCACCTGAGACAGCAATGCCACAACCACCGGGAAGCTCAAAGCACACACTTGCCTCTTCCGCAGCCACGAGCCAGGTTTTGCGGTGCTCATCGCAGTAAACCCCCACGCGCCGCACCCAGAGCCGGACGGGAGGAGCGCCGGCCTCCCCCCCTTCTGCCATCCCTCGGGCACTGCAGGAGCTCAGCGGGACGGCCTCAGCCCGCGGGATGCGCGCATGGCCTCGTCAGCTCCGAGCACATCCACGGGGAGAGCTCCCGGACCTGACACGCAGCTGGTGCCTGGCTCGCTGGAGGAGATGCTACGGCCTGAAACGTCCCTAAAAGTCAGCTGGGGAGGCTGAGGTGGTGCCTAAGCCAAGAGAAATGTCAGGCCAAGTTGTACACCGGGGCACGGGTGCTGTGTGGCATTTGTAAGGCATTCTGGGGCAAAAGGTGCTATTGGTACGGAGTTAGACCCTGTGAATACTGGCTTTGCTCATTCCACTAACAGTCCTATTAACAGTCTTTGTGCAAAACGGGGGGGGTGTGGGGGGGCGAAATAGTGGTGGTCTAAATTCCAAAAGCAAATCTTGTGACAAGAAGTGGGATGAGCTTAAGGATGAAGATCACTCTGGAGACAAAGCATGGAGCTCGGTGTGCACGACTCTCGCAGCTGGAGCTCGCAGAGCCATCACCGTGCAGGGTCTTGGTCTCATCTCTCACAGGGGTGGCAGCACTGTCCAGTCACACACAGACTTCACAGGAGCAGCTCTGGAGACTCTTGTCATTCGGCTTTTAGCTGGTCACAGAGAGCCTCCAACACCAGCAGGGGCAGAGGAGCTTTGGGCATTGAGGTGGTTCCTGCTACTGGATTTTTTGTTTAGCAGCACGTTTATCTGTGTGCCAGTGAGGTCAAGCTGAGCCATTAGCAAATGGAGGGCAGGGGAAATGGTTCTCTTTGAGCCCTAGAGGAGGTAATCAAAATGGTACAGTCTTCATCCTTTATCTAGGTTTAAAGTAGAACAAAGTTAAGCTGTAACACATACAACATCCTCCTGCTATGAAGCAGATGCAATATTCTTTATCCCCGTGAAACACAGTGGTCTTCTGAAAACTTGTAAGGTTATAAGGCATATTTCAGCCAGGAGCAAGAAAATCTGGGTACAAAATAAAGGAGGGAAAGTCAGGGAGAGAAAAAAAAAAATTGTTATACATTGGGTTACATATATAACAGGAAATACAAGTCCATGTTGCTTTCCATATCTCACATCAGTGTTTCTCTACTTTTTGGAATCAAAGGAGCACTCAGCTTTCTTGAGAACAAAACACCAACCACGGATCAGCCTGAACAGCACTGTCACAGTATTTTCATTCCTAACAAAGAAAACTTTGAATGTTCTTTTATGGTTTCTTTTTTCTCCCATTCTGTTTTGTTTCCTTGCTTGATGTGTGGGGATGTGAATGTGCACTCTACAAAGCACCACTGTTCTGAAGACCATCCTGTGACGTGGGGCAGCCATTCCAAGCAATGCCCCAGCAGCTGGACCACTGGCATTTAAAGAAATGTGACAGCAGGATGAGAAGCCTCACAAGGCCTTCAGGAATCAGCTCTGAGGGTTAAAGGGACACTTCTTTAAGTCTTGTCCTTTCTGCTTTACCTGAAGTCACTTTACAAATTTAAACCCCTGTGTGGAAATCACTCTGCCCAGCAGTGAAACACAGCAACTGCCACTGCTCATTTTCAGTCAGCTGAATGTAATCACCCCGGGTGGAATTTGGCCAGGATACTCTCCTACTCTGCAGCAAGCTGCCAAAAGTTCCATCATGACCAAAAATGCTCAAGAACTTGCTTTATTGCTGGAATTTCGACAGCTCATCATCCCCAGGACCAGAAGGCTCAAGACTCCGGTAATAGAAAAACATGACTCAGTAAGTGAACTGTGCTTCCTACTGCAAGTAAACTCTCCTGGAAGGTCTCCTATCCAAATACTAACCTGGTTCAGCCTGGCTGAACTACAGGTAGGGGGGCTAAAGCACAACATGCATGTTTGTGTTCACTGTGTATGAGGATGGCAGCGGTGACAGACCCAGGACGGACAGAACGAGCTCTCGTGCAGAGGACACTGTGCAGAATGGGCAGAGGTTAATTTGCGGTTCGCCCTTTGCCCCACCTGATTTGTCCCAGTTTTCCCCAGAACTCCACAGCTCTGAGTTCAAAGTTCAAAGGCCCAGTCTGGCCCACTTAGTGCCACAGAGAAAATCTTGGGGTCAGGCAGAACCGTCAGTTGGGGTTTGAGGTGGGACAGGCCTGTCTGCAGCACCCAAACGCACCACAGAAACAGGAGATGCCACGAGCACACACTTAGACACTGCACCTGGACACACACACAACTCCTCTTTCTGCAGCTTTTATCAGAAAGCAGCAACAAAGCCTGAAGGAAGACATAGGTGGAAGGAGAAGTGAGCTTACTTATCTTTTAAACAAGTTTTAAACTCGGGTTTCTTGCTTCATAATCTGTTAAAAACCCAACACACTCAACACAAACCCAATCAGCTGAAATCTGCAGGACTGCATCATCATCCTTTGACAGAGATTTTAATGTTCCCATCAACATAACTGCAGAAGGCTGAGCTGTCTAAAGGGTTGTTTTGAGCAGGTTCAAAGCCTGATCCCTGCAGAGAGGAATAATGCTGGCAGGTATTCTGTCCATCTCAGCATCAGTCTTAGAAGATTAATGCTGTTCTAGGATCTGGGTGGATTTCTGAGCCACACAATATATAGATAAATGTGAAAATGGCCAGAAGGAGGACTGCAGCTTGTGGTGAAGACAATTTATTTGCTTTTAAATCGGGTACATTAAAATATTTTTATGAAAACAGTGAAAGAAATTGCTCCAGACGCTGCTTGGGCCACCCTAGAGCTGGAGCTCAGTGTGCTGAACAAACTGCACCCTTTATCACCTTCTGTTTCAAAAGGTAACTGGGTCAGACTGTTAGAAAGGTTCAGCTGCCATTTGGGTAGCAAGGAGAGGTGCTGCTGACACAGTTACAGTTCCCAGAGCAAAGCTGCCCAGCCCGGCCTTCTGGTGGGGTGTGACAGCTCCCCCGGGGAGCTCCAAGGGTGCTGGGCTCTCCTGAAACACCCAGCCCGGCTCTGGCAACAAGTCAGGCATCTGGTGAGCTGTTTGCTGATGTGGGCACTCTCTAAAGCTTCTTGCTGGGGGTCTGCACTCTACTCTGCCCGGGGCGAGCCCCTCTGCCCCCACTGCGCTCCACCCGACCTACTGAGGGTACGGATGCTCACCGACCAGCCGGGCTGTCCAGCCGCGCGGCGAGGGCAGGTCGAGTTTTGGTGGGATCTGAAGAGACAGGGAAACAAAAAGAGGATGACATAATGCGGGGGGAGCCAGGGAGAGGCACGGGGAGGGTGAGAGGCGCAGGGGCCGGGCCGGGCCGGGGAGCGGGCGCGGGGGGCGGTGCGAACAAGGAGGGCCGGAGGGGCGTAGGGTGGTGGCGCAACACATCGGCAGAGCCCTCGCGCCCCTGCCCGCGCCGGGCCGTGCCGGCGGGGCTGTGCGGCGGCCCCGGGTGGGTGTGCGGCGGGCGCCGGGCCGGGCCCGCCATGACCTACCTGCACCCGCGCCGTGACCGCCGCCGCCGCGTGCGCCGCGCTAAGCCTTCCCCCGCCCCGACACCCCGCCGCCTCCCCGCACGCCCCCGGGGGGGCGGACCCCGCGCCGAGCCCAGCCGCGTTGAGCCGGGCCGGGTCGGGCCAGGCCCCGCCCCGGTCTGGCCTCGCCGCCCGCCCCCGGGCCCCGCCCGCCCCCGGGCCCCGCCGCGGGGACTGGGAGCCGCGCGGGGCGGCGGCGGAACCTCGGCGGCGCCGCTCCCGTGGGCGGCACGGCCCTTCCGCCGCGCCGCACCGCCTCAGCGGGGGCCGCGCCGATTGGCCGGACGGGCCCGCGGGCGGCGCTGCGATTGGCCCGGCCGCACGGGGGGCGGGGCCGGGGGCGGTGAGGGGAAGGCAAGATGGCGGTGCAGGCCGTGCACCTGGAGGCGGACGCGTTCCTGGTGTGCCTGAACCACGCGCTCAGCACCGAGAAGGAGGAGGTCATGGGGCTCTGCATCGGAGAGGTACCGCCCCGGGGGGAAGGGCGCGGCGGGAGAAGGCGCTGCCCGGCGGCTTTGGGGCTCTTTAGCACCGTAGTGTTTGCTGTGGTTACCGTGTAGTGCTTAGGACAAATACCAGGGATTAACGCACCTTTGCGTTAACCCCCTACATCTGTTACTGTTGCCTTATTTACCCGTATCAGTAATTAATAGCTGCTAGCAGATGTCTTAGTTTTGAGAACAAAGAACGGTAAAAGAAGCGCATCATGACCTGACCGCATGTGTGAGATACTCTCAAGGGGAGAAGATTCGTTAGAAGATCTAGAACCATAAAAGGGAAATTTGGGGAACGGGATGTTCCCGTATGACCTCAAAAGACCCCAAGTCATATTCAAATTACTCCAGTGAAATAGTCGGCACGTATGCATGTATTCGGGAGGCGTGATGAATATGCATCAGAAATGTGATGAATATGTATTAGCGTGATGAATATGCATTAGTTTCGTGGCTATACCCTGCTCTGTTTAGTTGCTGGGTGTGCATTTCCGTGAAGTTATCCCCACGCTCCCAAGAGCGCTGAGTAAAGGAATGTCGGCTTTCTAACCCAACGAACTGGTTGGAGAGTTTATTTCTCGGCTCTCAGTGTGACAGTCAGAGCCAGGAGAGCTTCCCCTCTCCGTGTGCCCCTGTAAGAACCGGCCCTGCCCCGCGGGTGGGTGTCTCCCTGCCAGGGCAGTGACTGCTCTCCCTCCGTGGGCAGGTGGACACCAGCAGGATCGTCCACATCCACTCCGTGATCATCCTGCGCCGCTCCGACAAGAGGAAGGACCGCGTGGAGATCTCCCCGGAGCAGCTCTCAGCTGCCTCCACCGAAGCAGAGATATCCTTTAGTGCTTCCCCTCACACCTCTGCTGATGGGCTGCGGTTCACACTTGCTCTGCTTGGCTTGAAGCTCTCAGCTGCTCCTCCTGCAGCTGCTGGGCTGGGAGGGCTGTGCTGGCACTTGCCTTTCCCGGGAGTTGGTTCCAGCACTTGCAGTGGAGCTGTGTTATGAAATTTTTGTCGTTTCTGTGTGTTTGGTGACAAGTAACTCTGCAGTGTGTTTGTTGGGGAGGGTGGCACTCCAGCAGGGAGGCATAGTGGGAGATGAAAGGTCAGCAGGTCTCCAGGTGGGGCACTGGGGAGCCTCTTCTCTGCACACACTTGGGAATTCTGGCTTGCTCAGCTGCTGAAATGTTCTCTACTGCCACGTGCAAGCAAAATCCAATTTGCTTCTTCAGCAGTGACTCCTGAGGGTGCTGGGGAAGAGGCTCCATCAGCTCCCTGCCACGTGTCTTGTCACCCCTCCAAAGGGACCTGTCATTCTGTTGGCTGATGAGAAGCTATTTTAAAAAACTCTGCTGTTTTTCCTGGTACAAAAAACTCCTTCCCTTTGCTCTGCTGGTTCCAAAAGCTCCTTGACTCCCACACAGGTTGGCTGAGATGACAGGACGTCCCATGAGGGTGGTGGGCTGGTACCACTCCCACCCCCACATCACTGTCTGGCCCTCACACGTGGGTAAGAGGAGCCCTGAGCCTGGGTCTGGGTGAGCCCTGAGCTGGGGTCTGGGTGGAACTCCCAACTGGTTGATTGTGGGATTCACAAGTTCCAGAGCTGCACATTCCAGCAGTTCAGGACTCTGTGTCTCAGACATTCCCTGGTAGGACCAGACTGTCTGGGTGGGCTCCAGGGGCCTCTGTCAGTGCAGCCCCATAACTGTGTGTGCCCCAGGGACTCAAACATGACTCAGAGCAGCTACTGCTGGTGCTACTGTTCTTCCAGATAGAAAAACCAGACCCAGGGTGTGGGGAACAGCAAAAAAACCTGTGGGAATTCTGGGCCTACTGTGGTGATTTTTGACATCTGGGCATGTTAATGCAACACTGAAAAGTTCTATGAAAGAAGTGTACGAGTATGTTGTATGTGCTGGACTTTATGGAGACCTGTGGCACCAGGCTGATCCTGAGATCATTTCTGGTTTTGTGAACTCACCTGGTGTATTTTAAGATTTGCTATTTAATTACATTTTAAATTGGATCAATTTTTTTTTTAATTTAGTCACTCAGAATAAGGACTTAAAGCTTGTGACGCTTGTTACCAAATTCCAGATCACCCTTCAAAAGGTGGCAAACCTTTTCCCACTGCTCCAGGTGACCAGTGCAGTTCTCATTCTCTCATTCCTGTGCCTGCAGATGTCCGTACACAGGCCATGTATCAGATGATGGACCAAGGCTTTGTAGGGCTGATCTTCTCCTGCTTCATCGAGGACAAGAACACCAAGGTAGGAAACTTAAAAATGGCATCAAACCCTCCAAGTGCTCGTGAGGAGCATCAGGGCAAAACTGAAGTCCCTGAGTGCACCTGCAAGAAGGAAAGAGCTCTGCTGAGGGCACGTGAAAAGCCCAGCTGGAATGGTGGTTGGATTGTGACAGTGACAAATGAACAAGTGTTTAATCCTCTGTGCTGCCCCACAGCCTGCCCAGGGGGCTGCAGCAGCTGCTACACTGTGTGTACACTAAGGTGGACCAGTGGGCAGCTGTAGCTTCAGATTTTTTTATCATTAGAGGGTTTGTCAGTGTCTGCTTTAAGCAACTCCAGCATTCCAGTCACAGCAAAAGGTCTGTGCCTTTTCAACCTGTTGTAATTCTGTTTGAAAGCATATTCTGCTTCCTAAAGGAATGTGTGGGTTTAGATGGGTTTTTGCACTTGAAATGTGACTTTCTGCTGTCTCTCTCAGACAGGCAGGATTCTCTATACCTGTTTCCAGTCTATTCAGGCCCAGAAGAGCTCAGAGTGAGTACAGCAGAAGAAATTTTCTGTGCAACATGTTGTCAGTACTGGCCACCCAGTTGCTTCAGCATCTTATAATTAAAATAAGACAAGTGTATAAAATGCTTCCCTTTGGCTGCCAACTTAGGCATGTGTTCCCAAAAGTGGACATGCAGTTCTGCCATGTATTGGACAGACTGTGGTAGGTTGTAAAAGTCGTGTTTTTTCTCTGCTGCTTTGAAGTTAATTGTATCTGAATCTCTTTCAGGTACGAAAGGATTGAAATTCCTATTCATGTTGTCCCCCATGAAACCATTGGGAAAGTGTGTCTGGAATCAGCTGTGGAGCTGCCCAAGATCCTTTGCCAAGAAGAGCAAGATGCCTACAGGAGAATTCACAGGTAACAGCATTGGGGTCTGCACCTCTCCAGGACTGTGTTTGCTGACATGTTCTACTGTTGCTGCACCATAACCTTTGCAAAGCTGTAGAAGATGAGAAGGATTAGCAGCTCATGTGCCTCTGTAGAACTGGTTGAATAACTGAGGCTGGGGTTACCAGCAGAATGTGGGATTTTGTGATCACAGGTCAGTTGTCCTTGTGAATGTGCAGCAGGTGAGGAGACTTGGAGGCACCTGTGGTGTGGGCAGTGACTAGCAGGCAGTGGTTCTGCAGCCTGGATTTAATGTGCAGTTCCCTGGCTTGTCCCTGACCTGCTTTCTGTTCCTTGTCGTAGCCTCACCCATCTGGACTCTGTAACCAAGATCCATAATGGCTCAGGTAAGGATTCCTTTTTGCATGTGAGAATCCAGGGTGCTGCTCCCAGAGTCAAAACAGTGGAGTCTTGAGCAGGGCTTGGTTTGGCTCTAAGTTTGGGGGGCCTTAGACTACACATGTATAACACTCCTCCCTTTGCCATAAAAGGCCGCTGTAAATAGCTAGAAAAGTACAAATAATAGCTTTTTTTTTCCCTTGCCACACTCTGAATCACAAAGACTGTATAACCCAGAGAATTCCCTGAGATAGTTATCTTGTTACATAAAATCTAGTTAAGGAACAGAACTGAAAGTAAATACTTTATATATAGGAAAACATCAAAAGCTGTAAAATAACCTAATCCTGGGGTCCATGGATGCTGTTGTGTCCTTCAGCCTTTGTAGAACTGGTTAAAATTACAACAGACTTCAGGATTGTTCGGGTTTTCTGAGTTTGGTTTCTTTAGGTTATTTTTTCTGTTGGAACAGCAAGGGGGATTTGGGATTTGTTGAGAGTTACAGTGTTGTGTGGCTGAGCTGTACACACGCCTGCGTCTCCTGGCACTTCATATGAGCTGTGTGGATGTGACACCTTTGCTTTTGCCAGTGTCACAGGGTGAATCTCAATCCCACTTCTGTTGCAAGATAATTATCCCATTATCCATTCTCACGTGTTTAAGAGATGAGGCATTCTTTGATTCCTCTAAATTTAGAGATTAATTAGCAGCAGTGATGACTCGTGTGCAGGTTTCCAGATTTCTGCTGCAGGTCTGTCATCCCTCCCCTGGCTCAGACTGCAATAGCATTTCCCTGTTTATCAAGCTGCTGGTTCTGACGTTCCTGAGGGGATGTGTGGTTGGCAGGGCCAGCGTGGTGGAAGGTTTCCTTGGCTGTCTGTGACACTGTTGGCTTTGGGGTGGTTTGTAGCACACTGAGTGTGTTGTGTGCTGCCCTGGCATGACGTGTGGTTGCTCTTTGCAGTGTTCACAAAGAACCTCTGCAGCCAGATGTCTGCCATCAGTGGGCCCCTCCTGCAGTGGCTGGAGGACAGACTGGAGCAGAACAAACAGCGGGTGCAGGAGCTGCAGCAGGAGAAAGAGCAGCTCCTGGAGGAACTCGCTGCTTTAGAGTGAGGAGGAAATGCAGACCCTTCAGAAAAGAGACATGTAAAAAAGTCTACACCACCTCCTCCAGGCTGAAGGGTGGCCCTGCATTGCCTTACAGTGAAGGCTGTGCCTCTTCTCCTGCAGCACAGAGCACGTCTCCAGGATAAGGACTTTGTCTGCCCCAGCTTGGAGCAAAGCAGGGCTGTGTCTGCAGGTGCTGCAGTGGGGGGGCTGGGCAGCACCTGAAGAGACTCCTGTTCTGGAGGGCACACGTAGGGAACATGTTGTTTCTCCCTTCTCTATATTTTGACAGAAGTCTTACTGCTTTATATGTATTCCAGGACCCTGGAACAGGAGGGTTAGAGGGGAAAAGTGTGTCTCTGCAGTCATATCTGATGCTGCCAACTTCTGCCTTCTTTTAGTAGCTTCAGTTGACCATGATCTTATATCTAGTAATGTTCTGGACTGCTGGCCATCCACCCAGGCAGGTAAGAGGTGGGAGGGAAGCTTGGGAAGAAAGAGACCTGGAAGAACTTTGACACAGGATCTGTTCAGCATATGTCAAACCAAATAAAGAATTCCAAAGCTAGAGCTGTTTGGAGTAGAAATGAAATGAATGCTACGAAGTGCCAGTGCCTGCAGTTTTTGGTCCATCTCTGCTCTCTTCATGTAATGCTGTTGTGAGCCCAGCACTGAGGTTCTCTGCGAAATCAGCTGTTTCTGCTGCTTCAGTGACAGGACTGTGGTTCCTCCCCAGAGGGAAGAAGTTTAAGATGCTGGGAAGAGAACTGGTAGATATACAAGCCTGTCGTTCTTATACGCTGAACTTAATTGTTAAAAATCTCTTAAGACTGGAACAAAATAGCTGTTGTTGAACTAATCCTTTAAATGTTCTTGCTGTTGCATTTCAGAGTATCCCCCAGAGTATCATGTACATCCTCCTGTGTTCTGTTTTGTGAAGTTTGTCTCATGTGAGCAAAGGAGCAAAGCACAGTTAAAATTCCTGTTTCAGCTCCTTGGTTCTAACTTAAATTCTTACACACTCAGACAGATGAAAATGAGCTGCCTGCATTACTGCAGGGAACATTGTTCAATTCCTGACAGCTCATTGTCTGGACTCTTGCTGTGGGAGAATGAAAGTAAGAGCTGGGAGAGAGGCACTCCCTGTCAGAGAGGGCCAGCACTGATGAGCAGTGTAAAGGGTGTCAGATCTGGAAGCCCCATAACCCCAATGCTTTTGTCAGACTTGACTTTTTAAGCTTTCTGCATTTCTGTTGGCAATCCCCAAAGAGTAGAACTTTCAAGTATAACACTCACTACTGTTTTTTCCCTTAAAAGTGCAGTGAATAGTAATTTTCCTTAGTTTTTGAACAGTCAGTGGGTTTGTGCAGTTGTTTTTGTTACTGGTTTCTAGTTCAAGTGTTCCTTACCCTTATCTTTGCTGGGGAGAGAGGGTGGTGCCTCAGTGTCCCTAGGCTTGATAAGAGCTCCTGGGAGCAGCCCAGGGCCTCCAGTGCAATCTCCCAAAGCACAGCTGGAAGGGGGATGGTTGGAATCATAATCCCAATGACAAAAGGAAGTGAAGGGCTGTGCTGATCCACAGCCTGGCTCTCCAGCCAGTAAAGCTGGGCTGGCACCAGGGTTCTGTATAACTATACAGCCATGATTAATTTGAAACGAAGCCTGGAGTTCATTGCCACAGTTGGTACAACATTAGCATTTATTGATTATTCAGTATTACATTCCCTGAGCAATTTGCATACAGGAGACACACATTCAGTCATATTTTATGTGAAAGATTTAAATCATCTGACTAGACCTCCCCCTTCTGTGGTGGAAAGTGTTTGAATTTGCTTTCCCTACCCTGACCTTTTGCATCTATTTTAGTTTCTATGAAATCTCAATGACTGAGGTACATTGCATTCACATTTTCAATCAAAGAGCTTCAGTCTCAGGGCCAGAAGGCCTTGTAAAAACTCACTTCTTCTAAGAGATTTAAGCCACCATTAATTTTAACATTATTTTAACCACTAATTTCAATGAATTTAACAAAACCCACTTAATTTTAACAAAACCAGCCAAGGGTCACTCACTCAAGAGACTCCACATGGGAGAATATCTGAACCCTTGTTGAAGCCCAACTCCAGTCTGCCCCTTTTCCTGCCTGGAAGTCATTCAGATAGAATCAGAGGGCTGGTGGGCCTGGACTTTCTTTCACCTGGCAATCCCAGACAGATGCACACCCAGCAGTTTCTCAGCATATACACAGAGCCTACAGCATATCAGGTACCCAGGTAGAAGAGTAAATCCATTGCTCACTGGAGTCACTGAAGACATGCTGTGGAGCACTATGGGTAAGTGCTGCTCAGAAAATTCCAGCCAAACTTAGTGAGTTGGGCCCAAAGGGCCTGGAACTGTATCTTCCCAGGCATAGGTGGTGTTCCTCTGAAGTCTAAGGATACCCTGACTTGTGCATCACCCTGGACTAGCTGTCATCATTTTTGCTCACTCTTGCCCATTTTAGAAAAGGCCTTAAGGTCTTTATTAGAAGTACTTAGCACTAAAATATTACAATTATCTGGAATCCTCTGAAACAATTCTTAGACTCACGTTAGACTCATTTACTACTCTATATACAAAATTTAAGTGGCATCAAGTAAGGAAATCTATTGAGATATTAAAAGGAATCATCAAGCCTGGTTTTCAAAGCGAAATCAGCACCGAGTTTCCTCATGACCTCTGCATGGCTCAGCCCCTGCTGCTCTCTCTTGGCCAGTCCGTAGTTTTCCTTCACATACTTGGCAAAGGGTGTGAGCTGTGTCCTGGCAGGAGTGCCCCCCTTGCCCGGGGGCTGGCTGAGGGCCAGCCGCCCCCCGCAGAACGCGCACACGAACCGCTCCGTGTCCAGGGACTTGGAGTGCCGGCCGATCCTGGAAGGGAAAAGTCAGGACTTGTGGGAGAGGGCTCCTTTCTCTTCTGCCTGGATACTCAGGTCAGGTTTCTAAGCCAGTATTTGAGAAGAGCAAACAGTACCCCCTTCACACAGCAGAACAATCAAATCTGTATTGCACATCTCTACCCTAGAACTTACTCCACTGCCTTTTGAGCTTGGTCCCTCCCTCTGTCTCTTTTACTCTCAGCCCAGGAGTATGAAGTGCTACAACATCTGCAAACACCTCCACAACCCACATATCAACTGTCCCTTGGAGTTTCTCCTCAGAGCCATCACCAAAAATCCTTCTCCATGCTCTGTTGCATCTAAGCAACTTATGCATTGTACAGTCCTAACAAACACCTCAAGAAAATTCCATATGTGAAATGTTGTTTCCTTCTGGGAGTCACATGATCATGAGAGGTAAAAAAAATGCCACATATGCTTTCTAAGCATGCATTTAGCCCCTAAATTTTGGGGAATGGAGTGGTACAATAATAATAATAATAACACTTGTCAGCTGCTTTTTTTTAGTCTTAATTCAAAATCATCAAGATACAAACCCTAGAAAGCTTCCTCTGATACTTTGTCGTAGGATCTAATTGTCACACATTCTGTGCCCAGTTTTTATGGGGACTTGTTCCTTCAAAGCTGAGGGACATACATCCCAAAGACCCTCCATCATCACCAGTGGTACTCACGAGACATTTCTGCCTGTCCTGACCTCTGAACTAGAACTGAAACTACCTGGAAACAAACATGTGGGAATCACACAGTGAGGTTCTGTGGGCTCTGGAAACATGAAGTAACTCAGAGTATCCCAACTGCTTCACAGTTTAAGAGACCCATGATTTCTAGACCCAGGAGACTGGCAAGTTAGAGAGAAAGTGAATACACGGTCACATGCACATCAAAACATTACTCACTTAGCTTTGCACTGAGCACACTCGTAGGTGAATTTGTAGTTGATCTCGTAGCTGTGGCACCGTGTTACTACTGGCAGCTCTGGATGAATTACAGCTGATTTGTTGGCATAGAACCTCCAGAACCGCCCGTGTCCGTCACGAACACCGTTGATGAGCCAGGTGGCCGCGTGGCAAACCTCGTGGATCAGCGTGTCCCGAAGGCGATCTGCAGGGAAAGCAAACAGAAGATTAAGGTCAGTCAGGTGTGGGGAAGTACAGCCTTACTAAGATGCAAGGGTTATTTTGGAGGTTAGAACTACCACCGTCTTGGTAAAATGCTCCAAAGCAAGGTTTTACTTAGTGCATTTCCAGCTTTGTGATTAGCTCCAATTCAGCATCCTGCACTTCCCTGCACACCTGATGTGTTTCGGGGTTTTTTTCATTGGTTGGTTAAGCCTTTGTCACTGTTTCCTACAGCATTTTCCTGGAGAAACTGGCAGCCCATGGCTTGGACAGGTGTATTCCTTCTTCACTGGGTAAAAAACAGGCTGGATGGCCGGGCCCAGGGAGTGGTGGAGAATGGAGTTACATCCACCTGGGGCAGGTCACCAGTGGTGTTCCCCAGGGCTCAGTGCTGGGGCCAGTCCTGTTTAACACCTTTATCGATCCCTTTCAATTAAAACCATTTTATGATTTGTTTCCCCAAACTAGGAAGGGATGAGGGAGAAAAAACAGTTACAGTACCACTTAACAGAAGTTAATTTGGCCCTGACCTGTCTTTACTCCAGCTTTAAATACTACCAACAAGGTGGCTGGCTGTGATGGAAGAAGTCTGATTTTAGACTGCCACTATAGCACATACAGAATTAGAGTAACATGATGCCTATGGGTCTTCAAATCAATAAGAAACATAAACAAAATACTGCAGTTAGTGTGAATACATCTCTGTTCTCACGTTTTGTACATTTGCCCAGCCTCTTAGAAGTGCTGTGGAATGTGGATAAATCCATCAATTAATGGATTTATTTATTCAAGGTAATATGAAATTTCAAAGCAGGGTCCAGTTCCAGGTCTCTTAGGCCTCAGGTTAGTGTTTTTATCTCTAGAACTTGCTTTCTTAAAGGAGAATCAACATAATTGTTCTTTTACCCACCTGCAGAGTCACAGACTTTCTCAGAAAGTTCTATGCGAGCGTAACGCTTTTGTTGAGGACCTGTCTGCCCTGTCACACAATATCCTGCTGTTTTTCTCATCTTCTTATTCCAGATTATCTCCATTGTCTCTGGTAACTGAAAAACAAAACAGGACATGTAATCTGCCCTCTCTACCTCTTATCTTCTGGCCCTCTGGCTTCCCCTTGTATTTGCTGCAAAGCTGGTACAGGATGTCTCAGTGCTCCTAACACTGTTGTCACTTAACATGCAAACTCACCCCCTATGGCTGCTTATTCTCACAATCAGTGTCTCTGTAACCAACACTGGGAGTTCCACAATGCAGGATGAGACCAGAAGTCCCTTAGTTCCTCTGTTCTACCTACAACAGTGGCTAAAACAAGCTGCTTAAGAAGAAATACGAGGACAGGACAGGCATAAACCACAATTTCCTCTTCAGAAAAAAGTACCTCTTTCCAACTGCTAACCACTAAGCCACAGGTGGTTCTTTTCTATTAAATATCCATTAGAGTGGGTTTCTGGTGTTTTGGGGAGAAAGAGTGTGTATGTTTAAGAATACATAAGTATTTTTAGCATCTACAGTAGTCTATGATCAGAAGTTCTACAACTTAATAATTTACAGGTTAAGTACCATCTGCTTTGGTTGTGCTGAACCTGCAACTTGCAATTAATTTGATGCCCCTTAACACCATGAGAGGGTGAATAATCCCCCCTTGCTTATCTTCTGTGCTGCCCCTGATTTTGCAAGCCCTCATCATATCTATCTTAGTTAGTTCAGTTCTTTTACTAACAGTTTTCTGTCATCTAAATTAATGAGCTTAAGTAAAGGCTTCAACAGCACAGGCACAGGCACAGGGCTGTCAGATATTTT